GGGCCGGCCCCGGGGCCCGGCGAGGACCTGGATCCTGCGCCCCGCGGCAGCGAGGAGGCGGACGACGGGGGCAGCTCGCCCGGGGGCATCACCGCCCCGAGGTCCACCCGCCAGAACCTCCGGGACCTTGTGATGGGCAGCTCCCCGCAGCTGAAGAGGAGCGTCTGTCTTGGGGGCAGCAGCCCCGGGGGCTCCTCTGCGGGAGGGCGCGGCAAAGGCGGGGGCGACTCGGACAGCGCGTCCGTCGCTTCGTCGTCGGCCGAGGAGGAGAGCAGCGGCGGGGGCTCGGTGACGCTGGACCCTCTGGAGCACGCCTGGATGCTCTCCGCCTCGGACGGCAAGTGGGACAGCCTGGAAAGCTTGCTCACCTGCGAGCCGGGCCTGCTGGCCAAGCGAGACTTCATCACAGGCTTCACCTGCCTGCACTGGGCCGCCAAGCACGGCAGGCAGGAGCTCCTGGCCATGCTGGTCAACTTCGCCAGTAAACACCAGCTGCCAGTGAACATCAACGCCAGGACGAGCGGAGGCTACACCGCCCTGCACTTGGCAGCCATGCACGGGCACGTGGAGGTGGTGAAGTTGTTGGTGGGGGCCTACGACGCAGACGTGGACATCAGAGACTATAGTGGGAAAAAGGCCTCTCAGTACCTGAGTCCGAGCATCGCGGAGGAGATCAAGAACCTGGTGGGAGCCCTGGATGAGGAGGACGGAGAGAGCGCGGCTGGCAGCGGGGGTGGGCGCTGGAGGCTTTCCAAGGTGCTCCCTTCGCATCTCATCACCTACAAACTCTCGCATGTCCTCGAGGACGGAGGGGATCATCACCACCATCACCACCACCACTTGGCTGAGGGATGGGCTGGAGGCAAAGCAAAGGATCCAGGTCGCAAAGTCTTAGGCAGCTCTAGTGGGCGGATGAAACCCCGACTCAACAAAATCCGCTTCCGAACCCAGATCATCCACACCACACCCTCTTTCAGAGATCCGGAACAGCCACTGGAGGAGGGGGAGGAGGAGGAGGAGACCCGGTCTCTTAAAGGCCACTCATCCTCATTCAAATTGAGACCGAAGTCCAATGTATTTGGGTAAAAATAATTTCTTAGGAAATTCTAAGGTTTGTTTGGCTTTAGGAATACAATACTAGATGTAGGCAAGGAAGGTGAGACAGAAGAGATTTAGGGTAAATTCTGCATTCTTACTTGGGGGCTGGAATAGGTGGGAGGAATTCCCCCCAGCATTCTGGGTGAAGTGGATTTCCAAGTGGTTCATCAAACCTTGACCTAGGCCTCTTTTCCCTATGCTCCCACTCTGCCCTGGAGCCCCTCTTTCTAAGGACTAGATGTGTGTCTGCATTGGGGGTACAGAATTGATGACTGAGGGTTCCTTTGAGTTAATCATTACTGGATGCTGTGAGAAGTAAGGAATATTGCACTTTTATGTATGTTTTTAAAAGTGGTTACTCTTCCAAGAGCAACAAGAAATGCAAATTGTAATGAAACTGGTAGTTGTAAGTGTGAACAAAACTGCCCTGTTTTTTTACTGCAGTAATTGCATTTGCTTTTTAAGATACTACTGAAGGTCAGGTCAGAGTTGAAATGCAAACTACTAATTAGAGAATATGAATAAAAATGGGAATCCTGTTGGTATCCAATTTGTATTGTAAGTAGTGTTCAACTATTTTTTTAAAATCAATTTTAGCTTTAATCTCTGAACTAAAGAAATAAGCAACATTCCCTTTTGAGTTAGTCCGGAGTATGGTTTCCTCTTAACTATTTCTAATACCACTGCACTCAGTGTTAAGGTACGTTATTAACTACACAATTTTTATTTAAACAAAATGCTTTTAACAACCTAGGGTACTGTAAATAAAATATCGCCTCTGGTTCTGATTCACACTTGTTTTGCTATTCTAAAAGTTTAAATTTGCCAGAGTTTTTATTGTAGGGATCATATAACCATTGGAATTAGTTGACGTCACCCTATTTGATGGTACTTAACAGTTGAGTTGCCTACAGAAACTGTTTCTGGTTTAGACAATTAGCAAAAATTGACATAAATGTTAGTGAGCCTATGCTTCTATGAAGTAATTATTAAATCAACAATGATTTTCAAGTAAGGTGCACTTTTTATTTTACTAGTAAAATCCATTCATAGTCTCTTATGCTTTGTAGCAGTGTTTTGCAAATGTTTAAAATACTAAATCCTTTCAATTTTCCAATGTTTCCTAGAATCTATTAGAGATGTACAATGAAGTTACTGAAAAGCTGGATAGTAAATCTACCCAGTTAAAAATAGCACTTTATAAAATGGAAAAGAGAAGAGATGGGACTGTTTCTATATTTAAATGCTGCTGGCTATTGAATTCCTTTGTGTATAAATGAAAAATACCATTAAAATTAGAGACTTAAGTGGTTTTTAATTACATTTCTTTCAAATATGTTAGAGTAAATGTCTTTATAATTTTTGTAAAATTTAACTCATAAGCATACCGAATCTATTTGTAACAAGATTCAAAACAACTTTTCTGGGAGACTCATTCCAGCAAGTCCCTTTGCCTTAGTCTTTTTGGTCTTATAATTGCTGAAACCTAAGTACCTGCAACCTATAGAGATTAAGGAGAGACTTAACAGCTTGCAGAGAGAATGAACCAATATATGAATTGCACAGAATTGCAGTGTTTAGAGAGTTCTTAGATCTGTAATTTCCCAAGTTGTAGAAATTTGTGACAAGTTCGTCACACCTTTCTAGATAGCATCTGAATTTGTTTAAAGACTGATGAAAAACACTCTCATAAAATATATAAACTGTTATCCATTTGTGTGCCTTCACTTTCATTTCAGTATTCTCAAATGTGTATGTTAGTAACTGATTGCACAGAATCTGTAATTTGTTAGATCTTTAGAGATTGAGTCAATACTTCATTCAGTTTGCTTTTAACACTAAAGAGTTTAACTTTTTTTTTTGGTGAGGAAGATTAGCCCTGAGCTAACTTGCCAATCCTCCTCTTTTTTGCTGAGGAAGATTGGTCCTGGGCTAACATCTGTGCCCATCTTACTTTACTTTTATATGTGGGATGCCTGCCACAGCATGACTTGATAAGTGGTGTGTAGCTCCACGCCCAGGATCTGAACCTGTGAACTCTGGGCCACCAAAGCAGAGCACGTGAACTTAACCACTATGCCACCGGGCTGGCCCCAAGTTTAACTCTTTTGATAAAATATTCTTTAAATTTTCAAAAGTCATTCGTGAGGGGGAACTACTACTAGCATTTGTTGTCATGATGTGCTTGTGTGAAGTAAATTGAGCATTTTCAGCTACTTAACTCTACATTCCTCTTATTTTTCAATTTCCAAATTGAGATTATAAAAAGCAAGTGATTTGTGTGATTTTATATTTGTGGAGTTGTGCCTACCAGTAATGGGAATATATATGCCGGTTACTTAGATGTTTGTTGATAGGAAACTGTGGTTAGAAAACCTAAGAATGTCCATGTGTTTCTTACAGGTACACTAGAAATGAGTGAATATCACTTTTATGGTATATAAAATGGTACTATCTTAGAGTCCAAGATGCCTTGTCTCATTTTTTTAAGTAAGTGAAAGTTTGGGAGTTTAGAATGTAAAATTTGTAGTAAAGTTTGTTGTGTCAAAATAAAAAGTTCACACTAGATTTTTTCACTGAATTGTCTAAATCTCTGTAGTCCTTTATACTTTTTACCTGTATAGTGTTTTATGGTTCACACAATACTTTTTGAAGTTTCAATTTGTTTGATTCTTTTCCTATCCCTTAAAGTTACTGGCCGTGTATCCCTAGTTAGATAAGGAAATGAAGGTTGATGGCTGTTCAGTGTCACCAAGTATATGGCGGTTAGTAAGATCTTCAGATTGGGTGCTTTTCCACAACATCTTTTCTGCACTTTGTATTGCCAAATTTGGCAAAAGTGCTATAGTTTGGCACCAGTGATGGAGGAATCAATGTAGGGGGAACATAGTACCTCCACCACTACCTTAAAAAAAAAAAAATCCTCTGGCTCTTGCACACACCATCTGCCGTAAACTCTCCCTACCCAGACTGGATCATAAGAAAGGTATGGGAATGCCTTTTTCCATTTTCTTCAATATCCATCAAGCATTGGACATTAATGAATTCATTTTCTCATCAAGGCTGCCTTTGATCTTTAACAAAATTCACCTCCACCAGATGGCAGAGGGAAGTAGGAATCCTTGATGTAATTGTCCACTGTTGCTCTCTCTTGGGAAGATCCCATTATAATTGCTGCTGGAGTTTTTTATTGCTGCCGTTGATTTATGGCAACTTATAAAACATTTTTCAGTGTACCTGAAGAGCTAGTAAGTGTAGTTTCTGTTTCTAGGATGACTTCTTTCCTTAGAAGTATGTATCTTAAAAGAATTAATTGAGCAGCCCACTTGAAAATATCTTTGTAATTTTTCTTAGTGAAAAATTATTTTGCTAAATAAATGGCATTACTTGGAGTTTCTTGTAAGTCAATCCTGAAAATAAATACTCTGGGAATTTGCTGCAAACCGTTGTTCCTTCAATGATGAGTCAAATTTTCATGAAATGCTTAATATTAGAAGGCTAGAAGATGACATTTTGTGAACTTGTTTTTCAAGATATAGCAGTAGAGTTGTTTGCATCACTATCTGATTTTTTTTCCTCTGAAGAACATGGCTTTTGTGTTACCATACTTTTTTCTCCTTAATCTTCTCTTTAAATGTCAATTTCATCTCAGGAAGTAGCTTCCCCATTCAGTTAATTGTCTAACTTTCCACATTTATTGGTAAGGAATATGTGACAAGTGCCCCTACGCGTGCGCAATGCCTGGCATGTTGAAGGTACTCAATAAGTGTTTTTTGTTCGTTTTTTAATGGAAAATGCTCAAGAAATATTTTGTAATGTTGCGTCATATGGATAATTTCAACAATATGCATTCATGCCAAGTGAATCAAGGTATTTTTCGCTCGACGTGGCTCCTAACTGCTAGCCAACTACTTCATCTGCAGCCCAGCCAAAGGAACAATCTGTTCCAATCTTGGAGGTAAAATTGGCTTTATTAGGATTTTACTTTGTGAGCAATTTAAGAAATTTTCAAGAGTAAATTTGATTATAAGAAAGTTTTGCCTTACAAGTTGACTACGTAATCTGTAGGAGAATCCTCTCTAACTGGCTTTAAATATTCTAAGTATCATCATGTATACAAATGACTACTTGTTCTGTGAAACCCCGAAGAGCAAAAGAACAGGAAGATGAGGTTTGGTTTAGCTTAGAGCACTTTCTGATAGTCGTTTTAAACATGCCATGGACTGTCTCATAAGAAATAACACTCAACCTTTGGAAATAATTGGTCAGAGGTTACATGAGAACCTGAAAAGTTGAAATAGATCATCTTAAAGCACCTTTGTGACTGATTTTGTCTTGAGAAACATTGCTCTAGGCCATATCTATTCTGACCAAAGGTTTAGCCAAAATTGGCCTGACTTAGAATCAAGTAAGTTAACCAGTGAAGTAGGATTATCTAAGTTCTTGTTTAAATCCAGCTTTATGCTGTTCTGATCAAAGAACTTGGAAGTGCCTGTTAGAATACTCTTGTGTGTCTCTAAGAAACTTTTGAGTTTAATGCTCTCGAAATATAATTGAGCATTCTTGAGATTTGTCCAGAAGTTTCTGATATAAATGTGACCTTTGAGTTTTGTCTTACCATTTGGGCTGCTATAACAGAATACCATAGACTGAGTGGCTTATAAACAACACAAGTTTATTTCTCACAGTTACGGAGGCTGGGAAATTCAAGATCAAGATGCTGGCAGATTCAGTATCTGGTGAGAGCCTGCTTCCTGGTTCATAGACAGCCATCTATTCACTATGCCCTCACATGGCAGAAGGAACAAGGGAGCTCTCTGGGGTCTCTTTTAAAGGGCACTAATCCCATTCATGAGGGCTTCTTCCTCATGACCTAATCACCTCTCAAAGGCCTCACCTCCTAACAGCATCACATTGGGGATTAGGTTTTAACATATGAATTTGGGGGGAACACAAACACTCAGTCCGTAACAAGTTTGCATTTAAGAGGCAATTTTTTGGTTAGAGTTAGCGGTTCAATGCCATGGCTGCTTGCTGAGTCCGAACTGAGGAGATTTTAAACCTGGGCGAAGGTTTTCTTTGGCCGTATGAAAATGGTTAATACTTCCAGGAAGCTTACTGTGTATGCCAGGCAAGGTTTTAAGCACTTTATAAAAAGCAAGTTGTTTAATTCTCCTAACTCCCCTCCTCGTTCAATTCTAGAATCTCCATTTTATTGATGGGGAATTGAGGCGCAGAAACTGGCTGGTTGTCCAGGTTCACAAAGCTTGGTAGTAGCAGAGCGTGGCCTTGAACTCAGGCAGCTGGGCTCTAGCGTTTGGGGTAATCACCAGCCTGTGCCACCTCTTCAGGAACGTGAGACACAGGCAACTGGCCAGAAGCTTACAAGCCGCCTATTGATGTAGAAATGATGTAGAAAATTCATCGTTCCTGTATAAGAGACCAAACAAAAACCACGAACAAGCACTAATGACTGAGGCAGATATTGACTTGAACAGCCTAATATTGCTGCACAGGAATAAGAGCCAGTTTTTAGGTGTTTGGTTTTTTCTGTCTCACCTAGGATAAAACTCATTTGGGCTGGGAAAGAATATTTCCTGAGGTCAGAATGGTAGAGTTGCTAAAAGGTATAGGGTGTGGTTATGTTTCTTTTTTTAGGCTCACCTTCGCTCTCCCCAAGCCTCCACCTGCCTTGTCTGAGCACTTAAGCAGTAATGGAAGGGCTCAGGCCGCTTCCGCAGAATCATGAGATTAAAGGTCCACCTGGAAGAAAGCCAGCAACACAGCATCCATTTTCCTTACCATAAATTTCTAAATTTGTAACCCACTAAATCTGACTTTTGGTAACTCATTTTGGAATAGGCAGAAGCTTACCTTTGCTTTATCAAAGGGTGATATTTGAATGTTTTTAAGAACAGAATCTTTAAGGATATTTCCTTACTGTTTGCAAACTGCTCTTAAAAATGAGTTGCTTGCTACAACTTTGATACCCAGATAACTACGCATGTACTTCAAATGAATAAAACTGCCTTGCTTTAATTTATTTTTATATATAAAAAAATGTAATGTATGCGCATGGATTTAAACAAATGACAGTATAGA